CTAAATAAGTCACTTTAACCCTGTGGCAGATCAAGTTGGTCCCACAGGAGTTCTCCTCTGTTTGCTGCCTTTCTCCAATCCCCTGCAAAGGGCCTCAGCTTTAAGACAGGAGGGAAATTGCCAGAAAATCCAGATTGCATCACCCAGATGAAAATGAAGAGTAATCCTCAGCATGATCTTTGCAGAATAGAATACTTGGAATAATCTTACTCTATTTTCAATGCAAGATGTTTTCTTCTAAGCCTTTGCATCAGTTGGATGAAATTCTAAACAAATTAATTTTAGCAGCACACATATCTTATGGGCTTTTGGCCTTTTTGCATTTCTGGATGAGTTCATTGAAGGCTGTTTTGGTCTGCTGACAGTTTATTTATTTAAAACACTTCTATGCTGCCCCCATCACAACAAAGCCTCGGAGCGGCTCACAACATAGATAAAACATATAAATATAACAATTATACAATTAACATTAAAAACCCCAGTGACATCTCGGCTTAAAAAATTTAAAATCCTATAAATACATTAACAATTAAAATAAGTTTTATTTTAAGAATAAAAAGGTCTTAGCGACGGCACCAGGAGGACCTCTCTGGGGAGTGCATTCCATAGATGGGGTGCCACCACAGAGAAAGCCCTCCTCTGGGTACTCACCCTCCTAATATCATTCACGGAGGGCTCCCGGAGAAGGGCATCTGCTGCCAATCTCAAGGGGTGGGAGGGCATATATGGACACAAGCTTCCTTTAGCTACCCAGGTCCCAAGCCATTGAGGGCTTTATAGGTCATAACCAACACCTTGAATTGGGCCCAGACTTTAATCGGGAGCCAGTGGAGCTGACGGAGAACTGGGGTTATATGAGAACAATGCGCAGCCTCTGTCAGCAACCTGGCAGCTCTGTTTTGAACCAATTGAAGTATCCGGACCATCTTCAAGGGCAGCCCCACGTACAGCGTGTTACAGAAGTCAAGTCGGGAAGTCACCAACGCGTGTGTCACTGTCGCCAGGCAGTTGTTCTCCAGGAAGGGACGCAGCTGATGGATCAGCCGATGCTGAAGGAAGGTGCTCCTCGCCACTGCCGTCACCTGAGCTTCTAGTGATAGCTCAGGGTTGAGGAGCACTCCCAAGCTGCGAACCCTGTCCCTCAGAGGGAGTGCAACCCCATCTAGGACAAGGCCCAAGTCTCCCATCCCAAAGCCTGAACCACCCACCAACAGGACCTCCGTCTTGTCTGGATTGAGCTTCAGTTTATTGGCCCTCATCCAGCCCATTACCTCAGCCAGGCACTGGTTCAGCACAGCCACTGCCTCACCTGGATTGGTGGAGAATGAGAGGTAGAGCTGGGTATCCTCAGCGTACTGATGATTCCGCAGCCCACACCTCCTGATGACCTCTCCCAGCGGTTTCATGTAGATGTTGAATAGCAAGGGGGATGAAATGGACCCCTGCGGAACTCCATGGCATAGCTGCCATGGCGCAGAGCCATAGTCCCCCAGCACCACCTTCTGGAATCGGCCGTTGAGATAGGAGCAGAACCACTGCCATGCGGTGCCTCCAACTCCCACTCCCGCTAGCCTATCCAGACGGATACCATGGTCAATGGTATCGAAAGCTGCTGAGAGGTCCAGAAGAACCAACAGGGACGTACTCCCCCTCTCTCCCTGCACAGGTCATCGTACAGGGCGACCAAGGCAGATTCAGTACCGTACCCGGATCTGAAGCTGGACTGAAATGGGTCCAGATAATCAGTTTCATCCAAGAGCGCTTGGAGTTGTCCTGCCACCACCCGCTCTAGCACCTTGCCCAGAAACGGGATGTTGGCCACTGGTCTATAATTGGCGGCCACCTCTGGATCCAGGGATGCCTTCTTTAGGACTGGCCAGACTACTGCCTCCTTTAAAGGGGCAGGTACCTGCCTGTCTCTTAAAGAGGCGTTGACCACCTCCAGGATCCAGGTCCCAATCCTGTCCTTGGCTTTCTTGAGTAGCCAAGAAGGGCATGGGTCTAGTAAGCAGGTGGTAGGGCGTACTTGTCCGAGCACCTTGTCCACATCATCAGGCCGCAACAACTGAAATTCATCCATTAATCGTGGACTCGACGGCGACATTGGCACCTCCCCAGTAGAATCTGATACTATAGTAGAGTCAAGCTCGTCACAAATCTGAGCTATTTTCTCCCTGAAATGCTTGGCAAAGTCTTCACAGCGGGCCTTCGAGGGTGGCACGGGATCACTCTTTGGGCCCGGATGTACCAGCCCCTGCACCACCCTAAAGAGCTCCGCCTGACGACATTGTGAGGAGGCAATGGAAGCAGAGAAAAATTTCTTCTTCACCATCCTCACCGCCACAGCATAGGCCCGATAATGGGCTCTTAAGTGTGTTCGGTCAGATTCATCCCGTGATCTCCTCCACCTACGCTCTAGATGTCTCCCAACCCGCTTCATTGCCCGCAATTCAGGTGTGTACCAAGGAGATGAATGGCAACGTGGTGGTTTCCTGTATGATCACCTAAATATGCAACATGCTTACAGCTGGCCTTATGACTCTGATCTGCCTACAGTCTGATGCACTATTTCAGACCATGCTAGAAAGGGCATGCGTTTCAATTCCCTAAACGTGATCTGTCTTTCCAGTCTTATAGTTTGATTTATTTTATGTATTTGAAACATTTTACACAGCCTTCTGATACTGGAATCCCCTCCACAGTTTAAAATCTGAGTATAAAATCAATGAAAACAATGCAATGAATGTGTATTTATTACAATTGCATCCTAGGAGCTATTTTATCTTCATAGCATCTTACAAGGTAGGTTCAAGGTGTGAAAGAGTAACTAACCCAAGCCCAGCCAGTGAGCTTCATGGTCTAGATCAGTGATGGAGAACGTTTTAGAGACCAAGTGCCCAAACTGCAACCCAAAACCCACTTTTTTATTGCAAAGTGCCAACACTACAATGAAACCTGAAAACTGAGGTTTTAGTTTAGAAAAAACAACTCACATCCAGTCCAAGCAAGCATATATATACCCTCGGCAGCACACTGACTGGCCATGCAAAAACTTCGACCAGTCATGGCTAATGAGTCGCAGCACATGGCATCATCGCCTGGCGCCACTACTCCTTTCCGAGCATGCGAATGGCCCCTGTGTGCACTGTTATCTGATGCTTGGCTGCTGGGGCGATGCTGGGGTGACTTGGCTCGCGTGCCAACAGAGAGGGCTCTGCGTGCCCACTGTGGCACGTGTGTCATAGGTTCGCCACCACTGGTCTAGATCGTTTCTGGGTGCAGGACTTGCACAATCAAGTCCAGCACTCAAACTGCTCTAATCCAGTATTGTCAGTTGAAGACATCATGGGGCCAGGACGCAGCAAGTGGATCTGTCGCTGCCATAGAGCCACCATTTATGCCCCAAGAACTGAAAAGTGTGGTGAAATGGACCTGCTTTGGGGCACTTTGGGGCAATGCACCATGTCTCATCCATGTAATCAAGGCCGGGCTGGGCGGTCCAGACACCACCTTCTCATGGCTCCCCACCATTTATCCACTCTTTTTAACAGAGCAATCTGTTAAGAAGGAAAGAAAGTATTTGGACAATGTATTTTGTCTTGCAGCTCCAGCACTGGCTCTCCCCACTCAGGATTGCCAATTTTGTCTCCATATTTAAAAAGCAAACCAAACGATTTTGCCTTTAAAAACCTGCAAAGCAGGTGAACTCCCACCCTACTTTTATGGACCTCTCCCTGAACTTTTCACCTGGCTCTGGGCCTGCCCTCATCCCAGTTTTGCAGTCCAGACACTGGATGATCAAATTCCAATCACTGGATCCCTTTTAACCAAGGAATACTGTTCATTTTAGCAAAATAATTTCCCACATTACTTTACCAAACCAGAGTGCCCAGTATTCTCCTGTCCTTGAAATCTCTGGCATGCAGTTTGTCCCCTATCATTTCCCCAACCTTGCGCTCCCCAGATACGCACTCTAACTCCCATTGTCCCCAAAGCACACAGCCAGCCAATAGTCCTGGCTGGCCACGGATGAAGGAGCTGCCAGCCAGTATTTATCTTGGTAATGCTACGATTTCGTTGCATTTCAGGGTGCTGTTTTAATCCATTTTAATTGGTTTCCCAAGCCAGTTGGATTTGGGGAAGCTACTCCAGCCCAAACTTTCCTCCAATGATGCCACCAGAAGGTCAGCAATGGAGAGGCATGTCAGACACAGAAGTTTAACGGCAAAGACGTTGCTGAGACAGGTCTACTTATTTCCTATAATTGCAGAGCCACTCCTTGTGGCAGCCAGCTAAGCAGTGGCACGTTCAGTTGTGTGGCCCGTGGTGGATCCTCTTTGGAGGCTTCCTCTGAGCCACCCACTGATTTAAGCAAGCCTAAAGTAGATGTTGCTGTGTGTGGTTCCAGGTGATCCCTACCTATAGGAATTAAGGAAGCAAATCACATCTCCAGGGAAAGTTTTGTTTTCTGCAGCAGGGAATGTTTTATTTCCAACAGACTCAGTGAGGGAAGACCAGCTGGTCCTAACATCAGCACAGCCTACCTTTAGAGGGCACAGCTCTTCCGGAATAGCTGTGCCTCAAGCTAAGAGGCTGCTTTTGCTGTTACCTGTTGGGAGAATGTCCTGCTGCAGGTGGCTTGGAAGCTGGGGGGAAATGGCCTTGGTGTTTCTATAAGGGAAGCTGAGGATGCAGAGGAAAATGCGCGTACCAAGATGAAGCTTTTGTGTTTTTGTCACTTTGCGGCCCCTTTCAACCAATAGGTGCATGAAGGAACTCCACCTGGGGGAGGGGCTTGTCTCGGTGGCCCCAATCCTGGCACGCCTCTAGCCCTGTTCTCAGGACTGTTAGGAGTCCTAGCTGCATAAACAGAAAGGGGCCAGAGCCTGGGCCAGCACTCACTTGTGGTCCAAACAGCATCTGTGAAAGAACGGCCCGATGTTTCTCTCATGTGTTTAAGGAAATGCAGCCCGTGTAAGGGAGGAAAGAAAACAGAAGAGTTCACAAATGTATTTTATATGGAATATTACTTAGACAAGCCTTGTACCTTTTACGGTGACCAGCCCTGTTAAAGCCATTACACTTGCATCTCGTATGCTCTTTGGTTCCAATAGTATAAAAAAAGGAGATAATGCCACACAAATAGTTAACCAAAGCAGTATTTTCCAGTCTACAGTTGTTCCAAGATATGAAGACTGGACAATAGTCTAAATCATAGATTATGCTTCACTATACATATATGAATATGCCTGGAATTGTTTGAGCCAAAAATGACTTGTTCTTCAAGGAGTGGCTGGAAGGTTTCCAAAGAATAGGAAGCTCAGTTGTCACCGCCAGACAAAGCCACTAGGATGGTTTCATAATCTCCTTTTGTTTCATCCTGCACGTGGAAAAGCAACAGAGCAATGTTATTCTAATGACCAACAAATCTAGTCCATTACTGCAAGGCCTTGACTGTTGGGCAGTGCAGAAATCAAATATATAAATCAATGAAAAGGTACTATCTTGAAGTCCAGAGGGAGATTACCTCTATGCTGACAGAAACTCATTATGGGGAACCAGACAGCCCCCTTGTCTTTTATAACACAGCCCTGGGACTCACAAGTTTGCTTCTGTAAAAAATGGGATTACTCAACAAAGTTGCTGTAGTCTTATGCTGTTTACGGGAGCTTAATACTACTGGTTACAGGGCCCCCTAGTGTGAACAATTTCTATCACTAGGAAAAATACTGGTATGTCAGTCCCGGGCCTGTTTGGAGATGCAACGCAAGCTTAAGCAGCCCATGCTGCTCTGGGCCCCCCTCCTGATCCACCCAACCCAGGTCTGCTATGCACTCATTAATCGAAAACTAAAACAAGCGGCATACCAAGATAGCCTGGCAGAGGGATTTGCCGTAGAGTTGCCTGTAAAAACCTTTGATCTCATTCATGTCGACCTCCGAGCGTGACACCATGATCCTGTTCAGAGTTCTATGACGTGTTCCAGAACCCTGTTAAAAGGAATGGGGAGCAAGCTCGTTATATGAACCTTGCATTTTACTATAATTGGCTAACTCTCTTCCGTTTGACAGACATTTTCAACATTGTTGTGTCTGCTTCTCTGGACCTTCCAGTGGCTGCTATCAAGACGACCAAGGTCAGTTCTGAGGTCTCCACCCAAGAGAAATGCATGTCCTTGCATATTTACGTGAAAAGTGGTATTCCAAAGCTCATCTGTCGATATCTGTATGAATTCACTTCGGCCATTGCCTGAAATTCTGCCTGCAGTCACCTTCCTGCTTGCCTCCACTAGAGAGGAACTCCTAAGGTCTCACTGTTGACTCTAACTGCATGAAGCCCCGTTACATAGGATTCTTCGAAGACAGCATGAGATTGCCCATGAACATTTCTGAGCTTAGGCGCCAGGAAAAGCCCAACTGTCTTAAAGGAAGGCTGCACAGTTTGAGTCAATCCCAGACTGTTGACCAGGTTTGTTCTGTGTTTCAGATCTTGGGTGCTTCCACTTGAAGAGAATTATAAGCAACTTCCACACTAGAGAATTACTCTGTATCGCTTTCAACTGTAGGGCATTTGAAAAGCAGGCAAGATACCCTATTTCAGGGTTCTTTATGTCACAATAAGGCAAAAGGTTTGTGTGCATTTGTTTCTGCACGTAACAAGCCTCCATGGGAAAAACCACTGCCATTCCAAATATTTGAGCCATAATGGAGGTACGCCAGCCTGTGACTGCAGTGGGTGGGCTGTTGGCAAGCCACTGGCACCCCTAAAACAACCCATGGGTCCTGGGTGGCTTGCCAAGCACTCAACAGGCCACTCATTGAGTTCACTTATAACAACCAACTATGTTATATCTCTGCTACAAATTTGAATATTCAAAATGGTAGTTGTGGCCATGACAAGAGGCCTTGTGGGAAAATTCCCCACAAGGAAGAATCATCCCACTAATTTGTATTCATTTGCCTTTCTTTTCCCTTTAAGGAAGTTACATTTGAGAGTTAATATCTGAGCTTTGCCCAGCATTGTCAGCCTCAGCTGGGAATGTGATACAGTTTAATTCCCTTCATTATCTAGAGAGGGAGGCAGACAAAACTCTTGTTGTTTGCCTTTGGCATTGTTGCAGAAGTACGTATAATCTAACCGCAGTCTTAGCACACACCTTTAGAGCACAGTTCCCTCTTCCCACCACTGCCCTGGCATACTTTACCTTCATGGCCAGGTGGAGCTTCTCAGCAAAGAAAGCTGGCTTGCTCGTGGCACATTTCACTGGAAAGGAAACAGAATGACGATTATTTATGACAGGGTGATCATGAAAACAAGACGCTTGGAAAGAAACAAATGTCCATCCTGAAAATGGCAACCTTACTAATGAAAGTTAATTAATTACTATTCTGTACCATGGAACATGGGACAAAACCCTGGGGCAACTCTGGGCAGAAGAACAAGGATGCATCATTTCCCAGCTATGCACACTCATCTGCAAGCCCTCAAGGAAGGCAAAGCTGCTTTGGGTGATTTCAGAGCTGAGAAGGTTAAGCTCGCTCTCTTTGCTGCTGCTGCTTCCACAGTCAAGATCTCTCCTCCCAAAGCTGTTTTTTGCGGCAAAAGTGGCCACCAGTCACACATTGTCAGCCATGTCATCAAGGAACAATGGCAATGACTGCATCACCTTTACATCCCACCAGTTTTCCTCTTCTGAGGAAGGCAAGACAGCTTACCTAGCAATATTGTATTCTCACAAGAACAACTCTGTGAAGTAGGTTGGGCTAAGAATCTGGGACTGGCCCAAAGCCACCTTCATGGCCAAGTGGGGACTAGAACCCGTTTCCCAGAGGAGCAGCGTGGGAAAACTAC